GTGATAGAACAAGTTGCCGGATTCGAGAATCACCGTGTCCTTCCCCTCTCTTCGGACCTCGGATAATCCTATAATACTCCAGCGCAACTTGTCTATCTCTTCTTCCAGCTCCAGGATCTTCTCGTCAGTCCTCAGTGTGCGTGCGTTAAATGTTGCCAGGTCGAGTCGTCGTAGGTGGCAACCGAACCTCCACCAGAGATTCTTAGCACCCCCTGCCCCGCCGTTACCATGGTCGCCACCGTAGCCAGGAATAGCGGGGCCGCCGGGGACTGCGGGCCGTCTATTTGTGTAATTGTTCATGGGGGGTACATTGCCATAGTTGCCACGCTTGGCGAGCGGGTTGGCAACCGCAGTTTTTTTTGTCGTACAGTTGCTGTTATCAGGAAGATGCTGCTGCCCATCTCCTGCCTGTCTCCCTCTGTCGCCTTTTACGACACCCACGGGAAGATATGGGGTAGTGGATATTCTTAACCGCCACTACACGGCATTTTAGATTAATGATATTTAATTTTAAAAGAATATAAATGGCAATAGTTTGGTACTGTGTCTAAACTTTTAATGTCATCAAATACCTGTGCTTTCACTGCTGTATTCCGGTTTAAGGGTTATTGGAGTATAGTTACAGACTTGAAGCATTTTGTCTTTGAAATAAAATACAACATATGTTAAACAAAATAAACATAGATTGTAATATCATCTATATTAGTTTCTACTGGGAACATATTGAGAGTGATTCTAATGTGTAAATATCTCTTGAGTCCTTTATACAAAACGATCACTGTCACCCATGAACATCTGCAGCATTAGAGGAAACCCAGTTACGTTGCCTATATTTAAGAAGACTTGAAGGTTCCTAAGATGTATCCGTTCGCCCGGAAAACTGCTCGTGGAAATATATTTAACAATTTGATCATGTATGGCAGAGAATTCTTTTATTGACCGGATGGAATTTGAGTTCTGTCGGATGTTTTACTTTTTACGTGGTAGAGCCAAGCTGCAGCTATATTTTATTTGTAGCATGAATAGGTTGGCTCAACAGGGGGACCAGGGAAGGACTATGCTCTCATAGAATACCAGCTTAAAATAGCAGCGTAATGCTGCTGTGTTTCGTATGGTGAGTGTAGAAAACCGGAAACTGGTTTTACTGGAATCGAGGCATTCCAACTTAGTCCTCAGGGGTGACAACTCATTTGCATTTTGATTGTTAATTAAGGATAAATCTAGATGTCTATGGGCCAGAGCATCCACTTACCATCAGGTGGACTATGTGCTCGTTTGTCACCCAATGCTATTAAAAAAATGTAATATAATGGCAGAAATAATCTGACAACCCACCATCCAACAATTTTTCCACCCTGTGGTATAGCTGAAACAGAAATAGAGTCAAAAATTTCATAGTATTGCGTTATGGTAAAATCAAATAAAGTGGAACTAGCATGTTTTGTCATACTTAGCATATAAATATTACATTAAATAGAATATACTACTTTCTACCAAATTCCACTTCAAGACAATTTCGTCATTAAGATGAAGGTTTCGCCTTTTCCGCGTTTTTTTTCTTAATTAGCCGATGAAAGATCTAATTCAATAACATCGAAATATATTATATGGTTATACTCGTAGCTTAAGTAAACGAGAACTCGAAGTTCAAATTTTTTCCTATAACTAATTTCTTAAATCAGCCTCGATGTACACATTTCATCAGCATTTATGTACTACTTCATATTATATTAATCCTATTTTTACAGTTTTCTTTAATAAATTTGGAAATGTTTGATTAACAAACTTTGATCATTTACGGGGTTTTTGTTGTTAAAGCGTATAGATTGCCCCATAAATTAACAAATAGTTCTATAGGGTCCAGTAACTGGCATTAAAAAACTAATGTTTGTTCCTAGTAATTAAAGTAGGAACATCTTCGTTTTAATCAAAGCTATTCATGTCTTTATTTGCATGCATTACATTTTGATAAATATCCGTATTACGATGCTAAAGTTAATATGTTCATTTCTTAAAAATATTTCCTAAGTGATTCTTACAATATAATTTATAAATTGCCAGATAGAACATGTGCAGAACCGATGGATACATGTGGCAAGCCTACGAAGAATTCTTGAGTTCAGAAGTGGAAAAGAGATGGCATCACATGATGATAATAATTCGCTGCACGGACATTAATATAACTTGTTACTCCACACAAGCATATACATTTTAAGACAATTTTATCTACACTAAAGCACAGTAACACTGAATCACACTTATGAAACAAACATTTTTAGGTTTTAGATAAAAAATTAAACTCTTCTATGATCACTTTAAAATCCAACCGTCCATCTATTTATCTGTCAGTAAAGGGTCTTTTTTCTCAGGGACAGGTAGACATTTTAGTGCTAGAATGCCAGTGGATGATATAAGTGACTACCTTTTGGAAACTGTCTATACGGCCGGACCTAGGTTCTGCAAGCATCGCAGAAGAAAGCAAAAAATTTCCGATCACACTCTTACCCTTATGACCATCGGACATGAAATGAAACTGCAGTCTTAAACAAATATGACAGCATAAAGTAAAGGAAACAAACAGATCTACAAATGCAAACCTATTCAACTTCAATATAGCACGAGTGTGAGAGTGATTGAGTGGGACCAAAGGTCTAAAGTTTTTGCCAGAGATCTATCGGCCGGTGAAATAACCTCCTATGAAAATTAATGTCCGACTGTTGCAGCGTTATTAGTTACAATTTATCGATGGCATTACTTAATATATTTCAAATAAACTTCAAATAGAATCACTTGTCATAGTTTGAGATTTCATAACATATTATTACGTCATCAAACAAAATAAATTATAATTTATAGCGAACGGTAAGAAAAAAACACGCGCAAAACCTTTAATTAACGTCATAAGTGTTACTTTGCAGAATTTATTATAATATATTAAGTTTATTTTTAGTATGTTATGTATGTTTTGATGTTAATATTTAAATATACATGTCTTCATGTTTTTATAGCATCTGCTTAAATTTACTGGTGGTTGACTGTGGAGAATTCCTAATTTTTTTTAATAGAAGAGGGGTTAAACGAGCATGCGGCTCACCTGATGTTAAGTGACTACGTAGTAGTAGTGGGACGGGTCTGAACGGTCGCCTTTTTTAGGGATGGGGTGGACGAAAGCCGCCTTCAATGATTTTGGGACTACGCCTGGGGAGTAGTAGTACCGGAAAAGACGCCTCAAAACCGGTACCAACTCTGGAGCACACGTCCTAAGCACAATTGGGGGGATTCCGTGAGGCCCACTCAACTTTTGGATGTCCAGAGAGGAGTGCTTTGGGAACCGAGCGCTGTGTGAACTGCACTTCTGGCATGGAGCACTCATACCACAGGATAGTCGGCGCCGTACTCCCTCCGTCATCGAGAGTCGAGTTGGACGCAAAGAAAGAGCCTAGCAGATCGGCTTTCTCCTTTGCGGTATGGGCCAGTGAGTCGTCCTCCCTGTGCAGAGATGGAAGAGATGGCTGACAGAAATTCTCCTGGACAGCCTTGACGAGAGACCAGAATGCACCAGTTCCAGAAGAAAGGCGACCTAGTTTGTGCTCTGACTTTGCCTTGGCAATGACTCTTTTGAAGGACCTGGAGGCTATTATATACTTCTATTTTAGAGCGCTGGTGTTTACATCCCGGGACGTTGATGTGTCAGCCAAGGCTTGGTAGCACTCCTGCTTATAACATGATGCTATTTTATAGGAGCAACCAAACCATGGCTGAGATCTGCCTCTAATGGGCACCACAGAGGAAGTAATAAAAAGTTCCATACCCTGAAGTACCACATCAGCGACAGAATCTGCAACAACGTTGGGATCGTCCGGCGAGAAGCAAACCCGCCCCCAAGGATAGGATGCAAAGAAAGACTGCATCCCATCCCAATCTGCTGACCTATAGTGCCAAACACGGGGCCGCTTGCAGAACGCAACTGCGATTTCAGCGTGAGTCCTCCGGATAAGAAAATGGCCCGAGGAGCGTAAAGGGGCGTCGACGGAAATCTGATATCCGTCCTGGTGAGAGGTCAGTAGAAGGTCCAACAGGGAAAGTGCATGATCCTCCAAATCTGGAATCCGCGTAGACAAAGTGATCAGTTGTGTCAGCCCATATGCCAAGGCAAAATCATGAACAAATTTCCCCGAATGATCGGTTAAACGTGAACCAAGCCATTCTGCATGATGGGCGTTAAAGTCGCCGAGGATCACGATCTCTGCGGAGGGAATCTGTTGTAGCAACAAATCTGTAGCCATTTGGACGTGGTCGAAGAGTCGGTCTGTTTCGGCATTACCGCTATGGGACCTTTAGAGGCACCCGTAGATGCGCGGATGGTCGTCGCTATCTACGCGTAGCCGTCCGAACCTTCAAGACTGCCGAGGCGTCGAGATCAGATGTCCTCTCTGACGTAAACGCAAACTCCATCCTGAGGCACAAAGGAGTGTTCCAGTTTGTACCCCGGGTAGGAGAGATACGAGACATCAGCCGGAGAGGACACCTGCGTCTCGATCAGAAATAGCAGAGCCGGCCTCGCCGTCTCGAGATGGTAGTGGACGGCAATGTTATAAGTCCGCCCATTGTACGCTTTATGTGCATTAAAGTTTTTAAATAAATTAATATTATATAAAATTTTCACTTGATGATCTTACCTTCTCTCGGTGCAGCCTACTGATTGATGGCCTCTGGTGATCGAAAGACTGCGAAAGGGACTATTGACGAAGAGTAGTGACGAGCTTTGACTCGCCGCCCATTAACCCGCTTACACATAGTCGTGAGTATGGACAAGTCTTCTAAGTAATACTTACCACCAATCATATTCTAGAAAAATATGTGTCCAGCAGTAGACTTTACTAACTATAAAAAAATACTTTCACATAATTTTGAAGCCGAATTTAGTAAAAAAAAACTTTAGTATTATTTTTGTAGATGAAATACACGTTACTTAAAAAGAGTAAAAACTAATTATATTTTCAAGATTCATTTATTACTGTAAGTCTATTATCTAATACAGGTATTATTGGAGAGGTTTTCCTTATATAATTTTCTAAAATATCACTATCTTTTCCAACCGCTCTTATATTCCTTCCGTGACGTACCAGCACCTACAACAAAACATAAATATTCAAATTGGAAATATTCGATGCCCGATCACATATAATATCCCGCTTCTTTGTTATATGTGAATAGGAAATAAAGAGAGTTATTCTTTAGTCAACGGAAAAAACAAGAGGCAATTTGAAACAAAATGTCTGTGTCTGAAAGGAAACGATACAGCGCATAAACAGGTAATAAAAGATAACCATTATTTTTACTTATTTTAGACACTTTGATTTTTTAAATAGGTTGTTGTTATATATTTTGTTATATATATTGTTGTGTGTTATAAATAAAATAATGTCGAACATTTCTTTGTTAACAAAAGAGTACATAATTTTTTCTCTCCGCTTTAGCCTGCAAACAGTCCACAGCTGGCTAGAGCCTTTCCTATAGCTGACACAAATTGTTGTAGCCACCAAGTTTAGCAGGTGGATTGAGAGAACTGTTCCAGACGTCTGCTAGCTTTTATATTTTAATTTATAGTTATTTGACAAACAGTATATTACATCAAAAAAACGTTATTTTTTTAGTACTTACAAGTTAAAATTTCAGTTAATAAAAAAATATTACCGCAAACTTATTATTTCGCTTCCGAACTAAAAATCCAAGCGTTGATACTTGATATTCTTTATCTGGATTTAAATCTTTGAATTCTTCTCCTTCTTTAACTTGGGCGACTACATTAACACCTTGAGTCAAGTTAATTGTTAATCGAAGACCTAAAATTATTAAATAAGTAGCATATGTACATTTTAATACTATATTGCTAAGGTTTCTTACGTTTCTACATAGGAGTCTTAATGTTTATTTATTTATTGATTATTTATAGTACACCGAAATGCAAAATATCAGAGTTCGATAATAGAGTTCAATTTCAAGTCTATACTGTATAACAGGCGGTCTTATCACCGTTATCTCTTTCAGAACCTTTGCGTAGAAGACTGATGCAAATAGAGTTTATAATAGAAGGGGGTAAGTTAAATACATATAAATAGATATATTAGTATATGTATAAAATCAGTTGCTGTCCGTCAATCTCGCATAAAATCGAAAATGGTTGGACAGATTTTGATGAAATTATTGTGTGTTTGAATGGGTCCCTGGATGATCTAAATGAATCACAAACTGACCCTGTAGGTGGCGCTGTTGTCAAAATCCAGAAATCACACATTTGAAGCTGGGCGGATCGCTAGTATACGTATAAGTATAGATAAGTACAAATGATAGCGGTCGAAGTATAGAACTTAAAGAAACGAATAGGTAACGTAATTTATATTTTAACATTCTAGATAATACATTACGCTGCAGCTATATTATAGCACAAATGGGTCGGCTCGACCGGGAAAGGACCACGCTCTCACAGAATACCGGCGTAAAATAGTAGCTTAACGCTGCTGTGTTTCGTATGGTGAGTGTAGAGAACCGGAGACCCGTTTTACTGGAATTGAGGCATTCCATCTTAGTACTCAGGGACGACAGCGCATCAGCATTTTGATTCTTAATCGAGGTTAAGTATAGAAGTCTATGGGCCACAACATCCAGTTACCATCAGGTGGACTGTGTGCTCGTTTGTCACAATTATTCTATAAAAAAAACCTTTTTTATGAAAATATTTCGCACGACGGATGTGGAGAGTTAAAGAATTCCACAGGCATTCTTCTTTTCTCAAAAACAATGAAGTGTGAATAGGATTGGAGAGAGAAAGACTAACACAGGATCGAAGGAACCGATTATAGACAAGGGAAAGATACTGAAAACTATAGGTTATAAATACTAGTATTGATCAAATATCATGCCATCACGGCCAAAACCAACGTCATCACCAGTGGAAATCAGATGTTTCAATGCGATGCAATTACAGATAAAATTACTGGCAACGAGGCATTCCATTGTAGTACTATTAAGCCTACATCGGCCAAATTGCATATAAGCATAACTTACTGTTATCATTCTTCGATCTATACTTAAATTTTGTCCGATTTAGCCAGCGTCAGTTATCAGTTATCAACAATTAACATAATGATTTCTTAAATTTACGCGAACACTACACATTGAATAAAACTATTATTTACGGATTTTATCGCGTTTAATTACTTTAATTTATTTTTATTATTATCCCGACGTTTCGGGTGCTTTACAGCACCCATGGTCACGGGGGGGACTGAGATGTTTGACGTCCCAATGTCATATTTAGTCCGACTACCTTCAATTTTTTTAATATTAATTTTTGGTCAGATTTACGCAAAACGAGCTTATAGTATCATGAAGTATTGCTGTGGTATGCTTGGGTTTGGGTTTAATTTTGTTAATTATAGGATCCCAAGCAGATGGTAGCACCCAACCATCTTCTTTATTGAAATTTGGATGTTTCTTAATTTCAATAGCCTCGCGTATCATCCTTGGTAGGAATCGGTGTTCTTTTGCGAGAATTTGTGGTTTATCAAATCTAATGTAATTGTGGGGACGATCTTGAACATGTTCGCAGACTGCAGACTTCCCGGAGCGTCGGTGCTTCATATCAGCTATATGTTTCTTCACGCGGGTTTTTATAGATATCTTTGTTTGACCTATGTAAGAGAGACCACATTCACAATCTAGCTTGTACACACCTGCATCTTGTAGAGGAATATTACATTTGATGGATAGTAAAAATTGATTTTAGTTAGTTCGTTCGTTCGTTCGTTGAACATGTGAAGGGCATAGCATGACCTCATATGGTCTATGATATCTATGCAAATGTAACAAATTGCCACACAGACAATATCAGCAAATATGACAAATCGATTGAGGTAACATTTGAGTGGAATCCGACAAAAATTTTAATACCTACATACATATTAGCCAAAAATGTTACCACAATGTGGTAGTGGTAGCAAAAAATATTTTCAGATATATTTTATTTTTCTTATTAAATCATGCGTTTTACCTGCAATATTTGGCATCCACGGACCATTAAATGGGTTTGCAACGTAATATTTGGTCATACACAATTTAAAAACATCGAGCAAATAACGACCTGGAAGTGCGAATGTGACGACCTGATTTGCAAAAGGCAAAGTATTAATAATTGCGCCTCTTGTGATTTCTAAAAAAGAGGAAACTTATTAATATATTTTACACTAATCCAATAAAATGTAACGTTTACCGGACTATTACAATTATATATTTTATGGTTGGTATTTTTGTGTATTCGAGATTTATAAATATAAATACATGACAACTTACTTACTTAAAATGTACGTTAAGGCAGTTTTTCAATATTTAAAAACAACAATTACCTCCTTTTGCTAACGATGCGCGCATCGTATTTCTCAATATAAATGACACATGGGTGAGGTTTGAAACTTTTAACTCTTTAGTCTGAAATTTAAAATTACAATGAAATTACTTTACTCAAACCACAAGTTATTCAATTATATATTAATGACTTAATTGAGGAGCTCAGTAATATACATGTACAATATACATGGCAGTGGCGACCCTTCTCTAAATACAAAACGTTAGCGTTCCTATACTATGCAGTTGCTTTTTCGTGATTTTAAATAATATTAGACATATCAAATATCTACAGGTGTATATGCGGGGCAAGCACAGTAGTGTATATCGCTCTTGCCATAGCAGTTGTTCTGCTTATTAACGTTAAAGAAATGTCCATCTCGCTCGCACTGTTCTGTTGCGCACGACGACGTCACTATGCTTGCCTTGCTGCGGTGACTAGTTGTACATAGGCATGGATACACTGCATCTGTATTTTGATGATAGATGCAGATATCTATTCGCCAGAGCATCCACTTACCATCAGATGGACTGTGTACACGTTTGTTACTCTTACTCACTTATCACAGTATTTTTAGCATCAATTTATAATTCATACGGCAATAAATCTGTAAATGTGTTCTATATTAAAGGGATTATTATGTACTTAAATTTTATTGTATCCCTAAATATTAGTACTTTTTTTTATTACAATATTATTTAACGTGTTACTAAGTTCGTACCGCAAGCATTTTTACAAAAAGTTACAATGTACAATATTTTTAGTAAATCGAATGTATAAGCTACAATATCATAAATGTAAAATCACAAATTTCGTAAACACACTTCATTTACATATAAAAATACATATAACAAACATTGCACCACACATATTTCACAGTATTGTTGCGCGAATAAGTCGACGTCATGTATCCGGCACTAGCGCCATCTAGTGTCAGGGACGAGAGCGAGGGGAGCTTTCAAGAAAATGACGTCACTAATCTTTCAACCGACAGCGCCATCGAGTCTCGGAACGAAGAACTAAGCTTCTAGAAGTCGACACTCGAACTCTCGGCCCCTTGCGCGTGTTTACTTGAATATTCTGGATGTTTCGGTGCTAATTTGTATTTATAGGTGCTGCAAGATGCGATCGGGGGAAGTATTGAATTTGGCGAGACAGCTGCGGGGCGGACAGGATGAACAGGCGCGTTGACAGGAGGAACAAGTCCGCCGACAGGAGGAACAGGTCCGTCGGATGGAAGAGCAGCTACGGGGTGGACAGGATGAACAGGCCCGCCGACAAGAGGAACAGGCCCGTCGGTTGGAAGAGCAGATGCTCCTCATGAAGGACCTTCACGCTACCTTCGGAAAAGAGATACAGGAGGTGAAGGATAAGGTTGCTCAACATGACAACCGCCTATCGGAAGATGAAACCCGAATCGATCAAGTAAACAATCGGGTTGACAACGTAATGGCTGGCATGAAGAAATCACTGGACGAACTCAAACTTGGAGATGGAACTTCAGCTCCCGTAGTAGCTACAACACCTTCGCTAGGTGGGTTCAAGGTGCCACCGTTCGACGGGACTTCTTCCTGGTCAGCCTACAAAATCCAGTTCGAGTCTGTTATGAAGGCGAACGGCTGGAATAAAAGTCAGGCCATGACTGCTCTCACAAGGTGCGCAAGCTTAACAGTTCTGGAAGCTATCGGTGAGGAAGTGACTTATGAGCAACTCCTTGGGGCATTGGAGGCGAGATATGGCGACGCTCACCTGGAACACATCTTTCGTGCGCAGCTTAAAGATCGCGTGCAGCGCATCAACGAAAACCTGCAGCAGTGGGCTCTAGAGGTGGAGAAGCTGGTGCGAAAAGCATACCGGTCTGTACCTGCGCTCATTGAAGGGAACCTGGTGCAGACATTCATCGACGGCATCCGCGACCTTGAAGTCAGATCTGCTGTGAGGCTCGGGCACCACGAGACGCTTAAGAACGCCTTGGCCCATGCACTGGAGGTGGAAGCCGTGCGGCAGGATCTTCGTTCCCATCGCGTCAGGGAGGTTGCAGCAGCTATAACAGTTCGCAACCGCAATAATGGATACAGCCCTAGGTGCTATGGCTGTGGGGAAAGGGGCCATCTTCGATCCAGGTGCCCTAAGCGAACCGTAGAAATGGAAGTTGATCGATCTCGAGAGGGTAGTGCAGCTAACGGCACCGCCTGGCGGCGGCAGGATCGTCGTTCCCCTCGCGCTAGGGAGGTTGCAGCAGTTACGGTTCGCGACCACAATAAAAATTACAGCCCAAGGTGCTACGGCTGTGGGGAAAGGGGCCATCTTCGATCCAGCTGCCCTAAGCGATCTGTAAAAAGGGAAGGTGATCGGTCTCGAGAGGGTTGTGCGGCTAACAGCACCACCCAGCAGCAGGAATACGACTTTGTGATTGAACACCGCAGCGGGAGATCGCATGGCAACGCAGAAGCATTGTCAAGGAGACCTTTCCCTGAAGATTGCAAGCATTGTACTAGGCAGGAGAGTAAGAAAGTGGTATCCGTGAGGATGCTCAGGACAGACCACCTCAGCAACGAGTGGAAGGACAGCCTACGACATGCACAGCAGGAAGATCCGGACATCAAGCCGATTCTGGAATGGATGAAGGCCCGTGCTACCAAGCCTAAGTGGAGCGACGTCTCAGCGATGAGTTCAACCACGAAAAGCTATTGGGCCCAATGGGACAGCTTGCTGATTCAGGATGGAGTCCTGTACCATAAATGGGACAATGATCGAGGAGACAGCTGTCGTTTGCAAATGGTTGTCCCTAAAGCTAAAGTGCCGAATGTTCTACAGCTGTGCCATAATGGTCGTTCAAGAGTCCATCTGGGAGTTAAACGAACTCTAATGAAGGTCCGAGAACAGTTTTACTGGGTCCATTATCGTGACGATGTCGAGGATTGGTGTCGTACATGTACAAGTTGTGCGGCTGTGAGGGGACCTCAGACGCGTAGTAGAGGAGCATCGAAATTGTACAATGTTGGTACATCATGGGATAGGACGGCCCTTGACATTGAGGAGCCGATACAGAAAGGCGCAAGAGGGACTCCTAAGATCGTCCATGTGGATCGATTGGCGCATTATTATGGGGCCGATAATGCTCGGGACGAGCATGCCTTAGGAGGGGGCAGTGTTGCGCGAATAAGTCGACGTCATGTATCCGGCACTAGTGCCATCTAGTGTCAGGGACGAGAGCAAGGGGAACTTTCCAGAAAATGACGTCACTAATCTTTCAACCGACAGCGCCATCTAGTCTCGGAACGAAGAACTAAGCTTCTACAAGTCGACAATCGAACTCTCGGCCCCTTGCGCGTGTTTACTTGAATATTCTGAATGTTTCGGTGCTAATTTGTATTTATAGGCGCTGCAAGATGCGATCGGGGAAGTATTGAATTTGGCGAGACAAGCGAAGCTTCAGAGCGAAATAAAGTGAATCAGTGTGATTAATTATTAGTGTTTTAAGTTTTAATTGGTGTAAAGAAAATTAAAGTGTTAATTTAGGTAATTCTATCGGCAATTTTTATCGTCACGAACCTCAAGCTCGTAACAGTATAAATAATATAATAATATATATATATATAATATATATATATATATATATATATATTTGTAACATTCGACCTTTGCCGTCTGTCTTTAACAACAATTTCAATGGATAAAAATATTTTCAATAATTTACAAGAATTGGACAATATAGAGATAGCTTCCGCATATCAATGTGATGTAGAAAATTTAAACAAATATTTAAAATTTACAATAACAGATTTCACAATTGTAACCCAAAATATAAGAAGTATTTATTCCAACTATGACGATTTTCAACTGACTTTAACTTCTCTACAAGTTAATGCCGACATATTAATACTGAATGTAGGATTCAATCTACCAAACCTATTCCACGTCCAGGTAACTATAATGACTATATTACTCATCATCATGTTAATCAAAATGATGGAGTAGTGGTCTATATTAAAAAAAATATTTCATCTCAAGTCAAAGAAATTAAGTTGACTCATGCATCTTGCATACAAATCCACCTATAAAACTTAGTAATACTAGGCATATATAGGTCACTATCGAATCCCAACGCAGAACAATTCATCAGTTCTCGTAGTGAGCACCTGGACTCGTTAAAAGAGTATTCAAATATTGTAATAACAGGAGATATTAATATAAATATTACACCTAGACTTACAGAAAAAACATACGAAATAACTAATAGGTCGAAATACTTAAATATGCTTTCTACGTATGGGCTTTTACCGGGACTTCATATCTCTACAAGAGAGAACAGCTGCTTGGATCATTTCATATTAAAATTAAATCAACAAACTATTTCTGCTGAGATTGCTGTACTGAACACTTCTATCACAGATCATGCTATGATATTACTCAAATTAAGCAATATTAGACCAAATGTAATTAATGTTAAAATTAAACACAACACTGACTATTATAATGCACTTGCTAGTCTAGCTCAAAAAACCTGTCTAACCTTCTTTTTAGTGATAATCCGGAATATATAATACATCAATTAATTTACAAAATAAAAGAATCAATTGAAGAAAATACAAAAATTGTAAATATTTCTAGTAACAAGCGAAAAATTAAACCGTGGATAACAACAGTTTCGTATACATATTTTAAAATTTATACGAAATAGGAATAGTATGCAAAAGAAGCTAGGATTTAATCCTTATAATGAAGTATTAAATAAAATTACATACAAAAGGTATCGTAACTATGTTACTAAATTAATCAAGAAAATTAGACGGGAATATGAAAGGAAGCTTTTAGCAATATCATCCAAATCAAGTAAAACTCTCTGGAAGCACATAAAGAATATAACCCATGTAAAACAATCAAGTGTCAATAGTGTAGACCTTTTAAGTTCGAAATCCTCACCAGGTGATTTTATTGATAAAGTAAATGAGTACTTTGCTAGTGTAGGAGCATACCCTAATAATTCCTAATAATTGTTTATCTTTTTTCCATATTGATGAAGCACATAAAACTGTGTCTGTAAAGGCACATTCTTCCTTTGTTTTGATGGAAACCTATCCGGAAGAGATCAACTGTATTATTGCAGGTCTCTAATCAGATTTCGCCCCTGGCTGGGACAATATTTCAAACGGATTTTTCAAGATGGCTAAACAACTACTTGTCCCCATCCTCTGCCATTTTGTTAATATATGCTTTGAAAAGGGTGTCTTTCCGAAGCTGCTAAAGCAATCTATTGTAATACCGATTTACAAAAGTGGAGATAAGAAAGAAGTTGGTAATTATCGGCCAATCTCCTTGCTGTCTGTGTTCTCAAAGATTTTGGAAAAGTTAATTAACAATAGACTTATACAGTATCTCTCTAAATTTAAAATATTAGCAGACTCTCAATTCGGCTTTAGAAAGGGATGCTCTACGGAAGATGCAGTTGCCGCGTTGACTTCTCAAATTGTAAATACCTTGGATAACGGCAGAAAATGTCTTGCTGTCTTCCTGGATCTAAAAAAGGCCTTTGATATTGTATCAATTCCCACACTTGTTAATAAATTAGAACAGATTGGTATCAGAGGTATACCTCTAAAACTTTTAAAGGAATACCTCTCTGACAGGACACAGATTGTAAGAATAGGTCAATACAGTAGTAGCTATACAAATACGCACCGTCTAGCAACAAACTTTCTTCCGTTAAGCAACAAAACCGGCACATCTTTGAGTTGCTTAGTCCCAGGATGGCCATCTGCTTTTTAAGACAACAGTATCCCGTCAGAGCTCTTGCCAGAATGCGCAGTTTATTTGAATGTAATCCCAGGGCTTCTGAAGCGAATTTAAGCCTGTATGTTTGCGTTTTAAGCCTGGTGCACCAGCCCAGATCTTAAGTGATTTATTGTGATAAAGAGTTTCAAGTTTCAATCGGGCTAGGCGTTTTGAGATTCCACAAAATGGCTCGGTTCCAAATTGTGTGCTCTTTACGCCTTTATTTAACTAGCTTTGAGTTCACTAAGTGTGATCTCAGCGCTAGCAGTGCTGCTTAACTATCAGAGTTTATATAGATTATGTGATTGACGTAGTGTTTTTGTAGATAGATTTCCGCACACTGAAGGATGATGAAAATACAGTAAGTAATACTAAATAGCTTGATCACAGACGTACAAAATTTATATTCCAACTGTTAGAGGTATTTGTAATGAAAAGAAATATAAATATGTAGTAAAATATATACTTAATTCAAGGCTATATCTACATGTAAAATACTTACGGCATCGAAAAAGGCATCTGCTACTAAATTACCGATAGCGCACTCCTGTGAACTACACTTCGAATCTAAAAGGTCTTCGTTAGAGTATCCTACAACTTCCCTTACTAATGAATGTAATTTTTCTGTGTACGGTTTTAAAAGAGCCTTTATTTCTGGATCTGGAAATTTTACTTTTATATTTTAACAATCAGTTTTTAGTATAGTTATTAGTTACAGCATACTTTTTTATTAACTTTATTTTATGTGTAGTCATATTTTCTTACAAAGTAATAATATATATGTATATGAACAATACTAGGAAATTATTAAAATAAAGATATTAATATTTACTTTGCAACCATCCGCTCAATAAAATAAAATTATGTCTTACCTTTGAAGAGCACCTCCCGCCCTCCCTCAATTGCGTACACTCGCCTCGTCACCACTAATCCCAGCACCACCACTCCCAACATCACTATTCTAGGAGAGACACACCATCGATGATAATACTTATTAAAATTATGAGCATCCTCTTTAAAGCCGTACGGTGTATTGGTATTAAAACGTCACCTCACCCCTCGGAATTGTCGACCAATATCCACTGAATCGGGGAGAAATTATAACAAACAACATACGAATAACCTCCAAGATCTGCGGACACTATCTATGTAATACAGATATTAGAGGGCTGACTAGCCAAGGTGTGAATATCCACTACCGCATATCATTCCGTCGGCGTGTCGGTGTTATAAGAGGCGACAGAAGGAAACTGAGACAGGAAATGAGCAGCAGCATTTTCCTAATAACAACTCAAAATAATAAAAAATGCGGTTTCTAACTCCCGTGCAAAACATGGCAACTGTGGCAAAAATCGACTTTATATCGTAGATAGTCACACGATTTTTAACTAATGGTACATCTTTGAAACCCTGGTCTAAGGGCTTGACTTGCTTAGATTATTCTGATGAAAATAAAAACGATCTTAAGAAAATATTTTCTTAGGCTTATGAAATAATAAGCTTTAATATTCGGTTTTATAATGCAATATCCTTCGATCAATCAATATCTCAAAGTACACTTATCCTATACCTTTAAACGAGCAATTCTTGTATAAACTATATATATATATATATATATATATATATAATCGGAATCTCGGAAACGGCTCCAACGATTTTTATAAAATTTAGCAATGAAAAACTACAACAATATAAGAAGGTAAATTTTGACATTGTGTTATTGATCGTAATAGGCCAAGTGGATAACCAGCGGTCGCGAGATTGTTATGCATTGGTTCGCGTCCCGTCTTCGGTCCGACTTGTTTCCCTTTTTTTTAAAGTTCCCTTTTTTGTGAGAATATCTATTATTTCGAGTCCTTTTTTTAGTATTTTTTAAAAATACGAAAATTTTAATTAAACTAATTGACACTCATGAGTTTTTATTCAAATAACCAGTTCAGTTTTTTCTATTATGTCAATAAGATCAAAAAATATTATTCATGTTTTATCCGTGTGCAATTTGTATCTAAATGTAATTTCAAAAAAAACCGAGCAAAGCTCGGTCATCCAGATACTAGCTATTAGATTAGACAGATAGATTTTCTCATTTTTTATCAGGTCAAATATTATGATTCGCGTCTTTGTCTTCACGCCTTACTTGTCCTTATGTTCAATTTTTATAAAATGAATTAGTTTTTGCGTAATAAATACACTTCATTAGATTCACAAAGGTCAAAAACTAAACCACTGATAGGCTTCTAAATAATTAATTTGAACTTACTCGTAGTTTCTTATTTTATATCCGAACCAGAATATAAGGTTATTATTATTTCAACTCATGGAAATTGGCTTATTGTTACAAAATAAAAGTTTATTTAACCGAGTTACTAAAGGGACTGTTTTTTTACGCTTGTTCACCGATTTCTCGAAAAGGCCCAACCAATTTAAATAATTATTCTTCTTTAACTAAATAATTTTTGTTTTCTTATACTTCAGAGTTTTACCCAAATAAATTTTATAAAAAAATTCTATCTAGTCTATATTTATTTAAAAGCAAAACCTACCTTCTGGTATTGATCTATTGAGAAACACTGGTGTCCCGGAAAAATCGACTAAATCACCTTTTCTATCAAAAAACACAGTCATATTGCCCAAGTACTTGGAAAACGAAGCTGCAGTTACAACCAGTACCTGTGGAAAGTTTTAGTTTTCGAAACATAATATTATCGGACTGAAAGGTAACAAAAGACCAACTTAACGACAGTCAACATTCTCTGCTTTGACGTAGTGATAAATGACAGCAGTTGGCATAAATAACTGAACACAATAAAGAAATAAAAATATGTGCTTCACTTTTCTGCATAGGAGAGCCATTCTGCAGCTATATTATGTTTGTAGCCCGAATGATCGGCTCGACCGAGGTTCCACGAGGGACCACGCTTTCACAGAATTTATAACACCGTAAAATTGCAGCTTAATGCTGCCATATGTCGTACGGTGCGTGTAGAGAACTTGAGACCCTGTTACTGAAAACGAGGCATTCCATCTTATTCCTAAGGGTGTCACCCCTTCACGCATCTGTATTTTGCGAATCAAAATAAATCGAAGATAAATGTAGATGTCTACGTGCCACAGCATTCACTCACCATCAGGTATTGTGAACTCTTTTGTCCACGTGCTCTTAGTTATAGCAATAAACTGCTATTTAACGCTGTATTCTGTATTCTGTGAGAGCGTGGTCCTTCCCTGACCGAGACGATCCACCCGTGTTAAAACTATAATATAGCTGACCATGTTTCTACCATGTATAATATCAGGCTGTGGCGTATTTTTCTTGTACTCCAAGGGTAATGACGTGACTTTGGCCTACTTTTTGCCATCCGATGGACTAGTAGCTCATCTGTCCTTTTAATTTTACTATAGAAATATTTTACATCGGATTTATCTCTTTTAAACATATTTCATAAAAGACTTCTTGTTCTATTTATAAGTCGACCGTAGACCCAATTAAGAAGCTGTCATATCGTAAAATCGATTAAAAGGCCCGCTCCAAGTAGATTATCTACAAAACCGGAACTTTTATAAGCTGGTGAAAAATCTAATATTATTTTCAAGTCTTTTCCGCTGCTATTAAAATTAAAAAATAACAGGAAATAATTTCGAAGCTCAAAAACTTTTCAAAGATACCGCTTTTAAAGCCGCCTTTCAAAGCAGTAGTTCTTAAAAAAAACCTACTTATATGCTTCGAATCGTCAACAAATTTCTGATCGGCTTTACCCACTAGTCTTGCGCTGAGGTGTTTTTTCATGAAACTAAAGTGACAACAGTTAACAAACAGTGCACCTGGTTGTAAGTGGCTACTTCAAACAAATAAGGACCTCTAAATACTACGATGGATTGCTACATAGCCTGTAATTATATTGGCCCTCTATACCCTTCAGGCTAAGAACACTGGAATTTTTTATGTGCGATCAGTTATGTAGGTCTAGGGAAAGAGACCAGTATCACTGCGATCGAAAAGATCTATTGTGATCGCTGCTATGGCTATAGTTCACTGCTAAGCCCTATGTCTTCAATGAATAGAAGGAGTTGCTTAGCCGTGAGCAATTTCACTTCTTCTGGGTGGAGTACATAGTTTTCCAGATGAGTGCTACGTTTGCGCATTAAGGGTCCGCAATCAGTTAGGATGTGTAGAATACAGGATTACAAGAACTGCTATTTAGCGGCAAAAATTTGTAATAGTTTGTTACTTAACCAAGACTCCTAGATCGAAAAATAACCTCGCCACCTAGAAATGACACATTATAAGTCATCATTTATTTATGTGTTCATGTGACAAGATACTAATGGTTAAAGGTAATGACAAAACTCAAAAGTCGTGAGTCCGAATCAGCTATTCATCTACTATCGGAAACCCCTTTTAGCAGATGAATTTTAAGCTGAAATGCTTAACAGGAATATAGGTCGTATTAATAGAACAGCTAGTATGAATGAGAGTTACAAACGACAACCGTCCACCTGACATTGAGGTATTACTACTACGTATAGAGAAGACATCGCCTTGCACGATTTTGCGCCACGCATTGCGGTACACTGTACCGCAACTGTTTAGTGAGTGTCGAACGCCCGCACAGACGAGTCGTGTTCGCTTCGAATAAATAACAACTTCAAAATGTCTGGTTGTGTTCTTAAAGACTGCAGTAAGCACTCCGGAACATCAAAAAAGTGATGGTTTAACATTTCATCGGTAAGTAGACATTAAAACGTTTAAAACTCTTTGATTTAAAAATTTTCGCGGTTTTATAATGCTCCGAGAATTGGGCTGTCGACCGCCGTCATTTTGCAGTACTAATCATGGAGTAATAAAAACAAAAGACGCAGATACGCTACATACATTTATGCCTATGTTGTTGTTCAGTTTGTCAATAGTGTATGTGTTAATAATTATGGTGCGTATTGTGTAAAATAATTAAATTGTGACTTTTACCTAAATAACCTAAATAATTTTGAAGGTTTCTATGGCTGGGTCATGAGAAAAGAGAAACGTGGATAAAATTTGTGCAAAATAATCGGAATGAAGGAGCATGGCTTCCGACTCCTCATACATATGTATGTTCATTGCACTTTAAGAATGAGGATAAGCATTATACAAAAACATGACGAGTTGATTAAAAAAAACTTATTTAGAATGTGTAATAAATAAAGTTTATATTAAATTACAACGAGATTTTTATTTCATTTCTTTTATTTATTTAATAACAAGGCAGAGTATTATTTTGTAGTAGGTACAAAAGTTGTGCCACTTCTGTGTTGTAAAATCTATAGGAGCGATTTGTTGTACACTACGTTGAACGATACGCGTAAGCGCCATAAAATCCCTGTGCGCTTATGACGTTTTCGTCGCGAGAAAACTAATCCCTAATGCAAACTAGCGCCGCATGTTTTAATAGTTTGGGTAGACTACGTAACTATATTTTAGCGCTGTAGCGAACTTTAGTTCTAACTTTTACCAAAATGAAGCAAACTTTTGGTTCGGGATGGCTTTTTGGTTTTCGCGACGAAAACGTCATAAGCGCACATGTATTTCATGGCGCTTACGCGTATCGTTCAACGTAGTGTACAACAATTCGCTCCTATAGATTTTACAACGCAGAAGTGACAAAACTTTTGTACCTACTACAAAATAATACTCTGCCTTGTTATTAAATAAATAAAAGAAGTGAAATAAATTTCAAAGTTCTTTAGTGATTCCAGTAATTTGCGGGTTATTTGAAAACCTCAACACCATCGAAATATCACTGGAAACAGATGTAGGCAAGATGTTCTGCTCAGCAGTACGGCGTAACATGAGCAGCAGATTGTTGGCCTACGAAACAAGAAATGTGTCACAAATTTCTACATATTTGCATCCAACCTTAAGGGACCGGCTTTCGTCAACCTGAAAATATGTTATCTGCTAAAGACCGGGTGCGGCGGGAGTTGGGGAGTCTGATACTGGACTCCAATAATAAAACTGATGTCCCATTCTCTGACTCAATACATACGACTGAGCAGGTCGCAATAAAGAAGCCGGGAATTGAATTTTGTACTTCTTAAAACAAAGAAGGGCTGAGACTGGTGTTCCAAATGCGACTGCTTCTGCAGTAAACATACTGCGCATGTATATGGAAACCGAGATTGACCCTGGACGAGAAGACAAACATACGAGTACAGAAGTCGCTGGCACTTACGGGAAAACAAATAAACATTTGGCGCCGCTTAATAACAAGACTTTAAAATATTTGTCAGTGCCAGCGACTTCTGTACCTTCGGAAAGAATGTTTTCAACTTCCGGCTATTTCTTATCATCGCGAAGGAACAGGTTGCTAGGTGATGCAGTAGATCAACTTTGTTTTATCCACCAAAATTATGATTTAATTATTTAACTAAAAATAAAAATAAGTTTTTTTATTGAATAAAGTTTAATAAGTATTAAAAAAACTCAATTTTTTCATTGTCATATAGATCCAAAAAACCTAAAAAAAAAACTAAGAAAACCGGTTTTTTTTTTTTTAAATTACAAATCGATTTATACCGGTGCTGAAAGTTGTAATCGGTTGACATCGCTACTAAACAGTTGCGGTACAGTGTACCGCAATGCGTGGTGCAAAACCGTGCAAGGCGATGTCTTCTCTATACGTAGTAGTAATACCTCAATGGCATTAATCTGCTATTTTACGCCGGTGTTTAGTGACGGCGTGATATTTCCCCGTCGAGCCGACCCATTCGTGCTGCAACCATAATTTAGCTGCAGCTTGGCTGAACCACGTATTTCAAAAAAAATCATTATTTCATTAACTACATCTTGGCAAAGTCCACTGTTGATTATAGGTTGTCATCGGCCTCGTCGCACCACCTCACACACCCACGGGATAATACGGGGTAGTGGATATTTTTCCACCGCCATAACACTGTAAATTTATATGGCCTGGTACATTTGAAAAAAAAAGTTGCAGCCTAAATATATCACACAAACTTCTATCATTTCTATGAGGGTTTAAGGGCAACGACATGTCCGCCGCGCGGTCGTAATGCGTGTTGGCAGACTACTTAACATTTTAATATAATTCTTTATTGATTAATGCGTAGAAAAACTGTTTTTAAAGCTAGCGACTTTAAAAGCGGCATCTTTGAAATGTTTTTGAGATTTGAAGTATTTCCTGTTATTATTTAATTTCCATCAATAGCTGCGGAAAAGACTTGAAAATAATATAAGATTTATTATCAGGTTATAAAAGTTACGGTTTTGTAGATAATTTACTTAGAGCGAGCCTTTTAATCGATTTTACGATATGACAGCTTCTTAAGTAAGCCTACGGTCGACTTATAAATAGAAGAAGAAGTACTTTATGAAATTTGTCTAAAACGGATAAATATAATGTAAAATATTTGTATAGTAAAATTAAAGAGACTAAGGAGTTACCAGTCCACCGGATGATAAAAGGAAGGCCAGAGTCACATCATTACCCTTGGAGTCTAAAATAAATACGCCACAGCCTGATATTATACGTGGTAGAATCATGCTGCAGCTATATTATGGTTCTAGCACGAGTGGATCGGCTCGTCCGGGGAATACCACGCTCTCACAGAATACAGAATACAGCGTTAAATAGCAGTTTATTGCCGAATTCTTTCGTATGGTGAGTGTCCCGAAACATAAACCATTTTTACTGAAAACCAGGCGTTTCATCTCTGATCTCAGAGGTGATCACGCATCTGCGTTTTGATTTTTTAATCGTGGATAGATATAGATGTGTATGGACCACAAAATCCACTTTTTTATGAATTATGATATGGGTGACAAACAGTCTACCTTTTGGTAAGTGGTAAGTGGACATCTACATCTATCCTTGAATGCGAATCAAAATGCAGATGCGTTATCACCCGTGAGGTCTAAAATGGAATGCTTCGTTTGTAGTAAAATGGGTCTCCAGTTCTCTACAGTCACCATACGAAACACAACAGCGTTAACCTGCAATTTGACGCTGGTATTCGGTGAGAGCGTGTTCCTTCCCCGGTCGAGCCGACCCATTCGTGATACAACTATACTACTAATATAGCTACAGCATGGCTCTACCACGTAAAAATGTGGAAAACTTTCACTTACCATCAAGTGAACTGTGGGCTTATTTGTCAACCCTAATTTATTTTAAAAATTAAGTTTATTAGACCTCTTGCCTTTCGAGTCGTAAAACAACAGTGGTCAGTCACATCTACTATTGCTGAGTGGCAGAAATAATTCTTTTATTGTTCTTTAATGTCAGCAAAAATGCCGTCAAAGGACTTGCGTGTAATAAAAAATAATTTCAAGTATATTATGTCGACAAATCCGCCATTGCCAAAAAAGTCACGTAACAGTCATATTATTAAGATCTCTTTTTAGTAGACGAACGTCTTGGTCGTAGAGCTAAAGTAAATTTTTATGACTTAAAGGGTATTTTTACCTTATGATCGGGATCGGTATCAGGCGTAATAACAATCGGATATGGCCCAGACACGTGTTCCTTAGTTGGCGCCTTTCCGTTCCATAACAAGCTATGTGAATGACCACCAACTATAATATCTATGTTTCCACCAACTGTTTTTGCAATTTTTCTGAAAATTTTAAAGTCAAAATTCGTTAAACTCCAATTTAAAGTAACTGTGGCGGGGCTGTCGTCGCGCCACAAGCGAAATACACCGAAGCCTAAATCACGCTATCAACATTCCGAATCATAAACAGTATATATAGAACATCTCCGAACTATCACACGGAGTGTAGGCCGCTCCCCGGGCAGAACACCTTGCCCGGCGGGAGATCTCCCCTTTTCCTTCCACGGCCACAGTGGTGACCCCGACGTGATCTGAACACGCAACCAGCAACCTTCGGAAACTTCAAGCTTCATCATCTTCATAGAATACCCCACTCATTCGCTCCCGAGCAGATATCGTCTGCAGTCTTCATATCCTGTAGGTCATCTAGCTTCACAAGGTTCATCGCAGTACTGGAATAATAATGCTTCCTGTTCCTTCAAGCTACTCTCTGCGCTATACAGTGTGTTCGGCACGGCTCTGAGTCTTACTGCTCACCTCTGCTTCACGGCACTCTCGCAGATTACTTGTCTTCTTCTCGACTCACCGCAGACTTACAAGGCAATCTCCTGGCACTTGCACATTCGTCGGAAACGCGGCTGCACTACCGACATCCGGTCTGAGCAGGGGGGTGATGTGGCGGGGCTATCGTCGCGCCACAAGCGAAATACACCGAAGCCTAAATCACGCTATCAACATTCCGAATCATAAACAGTATATATAGAACATCTCCGAACTATCACACGGAGTGTAGGCCGCTCCCCGGGCAGAACACCTTGCCCGGCGGGAGATCTCCCCTTTTTCTTCCACGGCCACAGTAACCAACTAATACACGTTTTTTTTCTAATCTTTCAACTGCATCATCATCATTACAGTTTACACCCTATCAAAGTTTACTGCTGAATAATGGCCTCTCCCGCAGATTGCCACATTTTTTATAGTATACGGTGACAAGCGAGTACACAGTCTACCTGATGGTAAGTGGTTGCTGTGGCCCATAGACATCTACATTTATTCTCGACTACGAATCAAAATGCAGATGCGTTATCACTCGTGAGGACTAAGATGGAATGCCTCATTTCCAGTAAAAAGGGTCCCTGGTTCTCCACACTCACAATACGCAACACTGCTGCATTAAACTACTATTTTATGCTAGTATACTGTGAGAGCCCCGCTTGAGCTGACCCATTCGTGCTACAACTATATTACTAATATAACTGTAGCATGGCAGGTTTGCAACCGCAATCTTTTATAATGTTCAGTTATTAAAAGAGAGATGCTGTTGCCAACTCCTACTACAGTTATCTGCCGTCTGCAGTATCCTCAGCCTCTAATGATAATCACGGGATGGTTTGTGGTGGTAGATTCTCTTACGCCGGCCACTTCTAAAATTAACTTGTTTATTGCTATTTTAAGTGCTGATTTACCACTTGCTCGGCGATGAAGCAAAATATCGTGAGGAAACCTGCATGTCTGAGAAATAAGAAAAAAAGTATATTTCAAAGACATATGAAGTTCGCCAACACGCATTGAAACAGCGCGGCGAACTCTTCCTTGCCCTAAAATCTTTCAGAAATTAGAGGAGTCCTGTGCCCAGCAGTGGGACGTATATAGGCTGTAACTTTATCTTTAAAATTTTACAACCTTCCACTAATATATAAACTAAAAAATAGCGCTAATGCATTACTACATCTTCTCAATCAGCCTATAGAAGACCACTGCTCTATAGAGCTTCCAGTTGCAAATATGTAATGAGGATCTACCTTAACCGTCACTCTAGGCAGGCGAATTAAAGATTGACGCTGGTCCCAGTCTCCAGGCTGGGTATTTACCGCCATCTGTCGGAAGCAATATGCCTTGGTTGACATTTCCCTTAGCCTCTACAACCTCCTGCGCCTTTCAACACCTTTCGGTCGAAATGGGGTAATAAACCGATACGGTTTAGGGACATTTAAGAAAAGGCCCTACTCTTTTTTAAAAGACCGCCAACGCGTCTGCTATTCGCCTAGTTTTTTGAGTGCAAAACCCTCAATACAAAGCCTTACTCGAATTTTTTGCTACTTAACGTAAATCTGTGTGATATAAAATGGGCATTTTCAAATAGATACACCGCTGTTGGTCGGCCATTAACGCCTCAACTAACTAACTTATTAACGAATGTACGTTAGTTACAATATTAAAAGTAATACAATAACCTTCAACAACACTCTTATAATAAAATAACGTAGACTAAAAGTCTACATATGTCCCACTGCACAGGCCTCCCTTCTCCCTCTCCTCCTCGGAGCAATTAGATTGGCACGCTACTTCAACGTAGACTACATAATGATTTCTTAGATTTACGCGAACACTACATATTGAATGAGATGTTTGACGTCCCAATGTCATAGTTAGTCCGGCTACCTTCAGTTTTTGAATATTAATTTTTGGTCCGATTTACACAAAACGAGCTTATAGTATCATGAAGTCTTGCAGTGGTATGCTGGGGTTTGGGTTTAATTGTGTTAATTATAAGATCCCAAGCAGATGATCCATCCATCTTCTCTCGCCTCGCCATTCTTGGTAGGAATCGGTGTTCTTTTACGAGGATTTGTGGTTTATCAAATCTAATGTAATGGTGGGGACGATCTTGAACATGCTCGCAGACTGCATAATTCCCGGAGCGTCGGTGCTTCACGTCAGCTATATGTTCCTTCACGCAGGTTTTTATATCTCTCTCGAAACGTCGGGATAACAAAAATAAATTAAAGTAGTAATTAAACGCGATAAAATCCGTAAATAATAATTTTATTCGAATACTGTACATGTTTTTTTAAAGTAAAACTGAAGTGACAAACGAACATACAGCCTGGTGGTAAGCGGCTACTAATTTCCATGGAAACCTGCAGTCAACTTTAGACGTAGAAGAGAAATAAGATGGGATGCCACACAGCGTGTGATTATACTGGTAGTCTATACCCTTTACACCGGAACCAGCAATGTAATCACTACTGTTTGGTGGCAGGACTGGTCGGAGGTACTTATCCTGGTACCTTTCCAGACGGACTCCTAGGCAAACAGGAGCCTTACCAACTGTTTTCGAAATTTTTTAATTCCTTATATATACATATTTATATATACAATATTATGTATATATGACTGTCTCGTTGGTCTGGTGGTTGTAGTAGTGTGACTGCTGATCATGAGGTCCTGGGTTCGAATCCCGGGTCGGGCCAAAAAAATCAGTTATGTCCAGAAATTCTCAGTAGCTGCCCGGAGTCAGGAAGTTGGCGGTGTATCACCCCCGTGCCTCGGAAAGCACGTTAAGCCGTTGGTCCTGCACCTGATCTCTCTCCGGTTGTGTCGGTTTACCGTCCCATCGGATTATGAGAGTGAGGGAATAGAGTGTCCACCTATAATCCTGTCCTGCGCCGATGGCTAGCCTCCGTTGAGGCTGGCCGCCGTGACCGAAATTCGGTCTGGAGGACATTACATTATTATGTGTATATAAGGAATAAAAATATACGATATTGCGAAAACATATTTTGTTTTCGTCACCTGCCAAGTACTTGGTAAAACAGCGCTTAAATTATAATTAACCGTTTCATTCGAAACGGCAAAGATCGAACCCGGATTCCTGACGTAGCCTACGAGTTACCGCGGCTATATCTGTAGCTTTAGTCAGTAAGTTAAGAATTAAATATATTTCGATATCCCATGCACTATAGTCAATAAAATGAAAGGTTTATTAGGCTATATCTTTAGCTTTACTTAGTAAGTTAAGAATTAAATATATTTCGATATCCCATGCACTATAGTCAATAAAATGAAAAGTTTATTGGAAAATATAGGTCTTTGTCTTTGCATTTAAATTGCATGTAAGTGGCCGTCTAAAGAAAATTGAGATATATATAAAGGAATAACCTTGATGTTGATGCTAGATTTTCGTGAAATCTGGAAATTGCTCTATTATTCTGAACGTTCTTAGAATGTTCTCTTAGTATATACGCACTGCTACTATTTAATAAAATTTATTATTTAAAAAATAGTCGATAGCTATATAGTGACGAAAGGCAGCCAAATTTGTGTTGTGGTTATTAAATATTTGGAAATGGAAATCAGAATATACAAAAACATTTGTTGTTATATAAATAAAGTACCAATATATTAACGAATATACTTATGTGTGCGTGTGCATGTGCATGCGTGCGTGTGTGTGTGTGTGTATATTTTTTACGTACATTACGTTATTTTAATTTTATTATATGTTTAAAATCATCATTACAGTCCTTCACAAGTCCACTGCTGAACATAGGCCTGTCCAATGCCCACGGAATGCCACAAAGCATGGTTCTTAGCCACCTACCTACATCCATCAACTTCCTGCATATCTTACCAGGTCATCACTCCATCTAGTGGGGGGTCGCCCTACACTTCACCTACCGATACGAGGCTGCCATTTGAGAACCCTTGTTGTTGGTTCTTCGAACTATATGGCCAGCCCATTGTCACTTCAGCTTACTAATCCGTTGGGCTATATCAGTCACTCTGTTTCTTCTCGAATATCCTCATTTTTAAGTTTATCACGCAGAGAAACTTCGAGCGTAGCCTTCTCCATAGGACCTTGAGCCAGTGGCGAAGCTTCTATAAAAACCGAAAAGCCGGGCTTGCCTTATTAAAACTGAATCAAAAATAATATGAACTAATGAAATAACTTGTAAAATGTTTCAAGCTATTTCAAATTTCCCGCGCACTCCACTTTTCGACACATGTCGACCGATGGGTCGACATGTGTCGAACCTCATATTGCCTTAGCGATACTGCTGCCGTCATAAAAAATTGAGTTTTATTTAATAGAGCGATTAGTTGTCTCCCTCGCTCGCGTGGGTTTTTTACGGGGCTTTCGAGAAGACGATCGCTCTCTTTCTAACCTATGGCAAAATATTCTATAGTGAAATATAACTACGATTGTATATATAGCAATTAGTATGGAGATTTAAAGCCAGGCTTTTGGGAATAAATTTGTTAAAAGCGGAGGCGCGCGGGCAACACGTTTGCAAGTTCATTTCACGTTTCAATATTTATTTACTCTGTGTGCTTATCTTACGCGATTTAATATTACGAGTTCAAAATTTATGTTTTTTTAAGGATTTTTAATGAAAATGGAGGATAATAGTGTACCTTGTGATTAACTGAAGTGTGTTAAAGTGCTATTCGGAGAGGAAATATTTAAACTTTGTTGAGATAATACACAAGGTTAAGAGTGTATTTCAGACTTACCTATCAATTATCGCAATTAAAAAACAGTTATTGGTGCAATTAAAACGATCACCAACATTTTACGTGGACGTAATTAAATCTTTCCATAAGAAAGCGAGACGATTCCACTAATCGTATCTCTTATCCATTAGAATGTAAATAATTCGTTTTTTTAATTTTGTACATTGTTTGTACTTTTTCATGTTTTACTTTTGTTCATGTATTGTATTGGATGTAAATATTTTCTTCTTTCGCTTAAACAAACCCAAACGGCTTTCTTCAAAGCTACCGAAGCTATGCAATTGCTGATATGTAATACAATCTATCTAGCAGTGGTATGCCTTCTGTGTGCTTTGTTAAACACGTCCTTGACAGCACTGAATATGAAACTGAAGCGTGGAGACATATCAAGATTGGTGTATTTTTATAAAATTTCTAAAAACAACAATCTATATTTTTATCAATTTATATCTTGGGCTTGCCCTAGCTTGGAGCTCCAGCTTCGCCACTGCCTTGGGCGTTCTCATTATTATTATGTTATTCAGTTATATATTTGTATATTGAATTTCTGTACTTCTTATTACACCTACCTCTTTTACATCTGCACTACTGTAAGGTAGACTGATAGATAATACCTCGGGCATTAAGCCTGCCTATATACATTAAAATGCATAATATGAAGTTTCATAAATAAATAAATATTTTTACCATTTCACATGATGCACTTCTATTTCTTTCTTTCTTAATTCAAATTTATAGAATGTAATAAGTGTGGGAAAAATATTTACCAGCTAGCACATTTAAGCAAATTCAATCCGATTTCAAAATACCTACTACTAATATATATTCCTTTATCCATAAAATAATTTAATTATTTCACTAACAGTGAAAATTTTAAAAAAATATATAGAAGATGATATTTCTAATTGTGATTAAAATACCTATAAATTGAAAATCAACAGATAAGGAAGTAACGTTACATCACACTTCAGCAACTTCGGGCTTGCGGTGTAGCCATATCGTCAGGTAACGTATAGCTCTTAATAAAAATCAACCATTTAAATATATATATATATTTCTGGGTGTAGCCAAAGCTATTGTATAATATAGGTATCTTAAAGTTGACTAAAAATCGTTCTGTGAAAATGATATTAGACCAGATGAAGAAAATAAATCCCATGTCTATAATATCCAGACCAATAACAAAATTAATTCAATCAAATTATGTAAGTCAAACAACAAAACTCAACAATGTTGATAAATATATAAATGGTTTCTTTTCTCGTTCAAAGTCTTAATCTATCCATTCAGCGAGAAAACGCTCAGCATCAGACAGCATTCTTGACACTACAACGCGAGTCTGTATGATGATCTTAGTTTTAAGTTTTAGTAATATGGTTTTTAAATATTTCATATATTTTAATGTTAAGTAAATAAATGATTATTCACATAAAATTTTATTCCTCTCCTGAATTTGATTTAAAATTGGGTTTAAAAAATTGAATGTACCTACTTGTCGACTTCAAGACCACAGTGTGACAAAACAATTATAATATCAACGCCTTTCTTAGTCAGCAATTCAACTTCTTTCTTAGTAGTGTTAACAGGATCCAAAAATTTTACATCTTCTGGATTTGAAGTAGTCTGTAACATTTCGAAAAATTAGGACAAATTATGGCTGTAAATGAAAAAATGCCTGTAGATATAGCTATACATTTCGCTATATATAGCTATACATTTCGTAATCTATCAAACTATTGTCACGTTTAGCTTACCCGCGTTTCTGGAGTAGCTAACCCTATTATACCTATTTTACGGCCTTTCTTCTTTAGTATTACATGTGATTTGTATAGACCATCTAAAGCAGGTTCAGCACTTGTATCAATATTAGCAGCAACAACTGGTGCACGGAGCGCCGCAAGGTATGGAGCCAGGCCCGCTACTCCATCATCGAACTCGTGATTACCTATTGTCTGAAATAAAACTTTATTTAAGACAATAACTTCTTTAAGTCACCGCTAAACAAAGACCAAAACAACTCAGTTTTATATCATAATGGCACGAAGGACCACCTCATACAGCGTAAAATAACAGCTTAATGATTCTGTATTTTGCATGGTGAGTGTAGAGAATCGAAGACCCGTTTTACTGGAATTGATGCATTCAATCTTAGTCCTCAAAGGTGACAATGCATCTGCATTTTGATTCTTAAGCGAGGTTAAATGTAGATGTATATGAGCCACAGCGATGGCTTCTTCGCGCAGTGGCTTAAAAATGAGTGGTTCCCCTAGGGACCACGAGTTCGTATCCCGCACAGAACAAGTATTTGTATGGCCTACAAATAATTGTTCCGGGTCTGGATGTTTGTCCTTGTGCAATTTATGTTTGTAAACTGCCTCCACGATACAGAAGAAAGACCTAATGTTTTAAAAAACAAAAATATCAGGTGGACTGTGTGCTCGTTTGTCACCCTTATCCTGTAAAAAAATGCCACAGTTAAAATTCAGACAATGTTATAAGTCATTAAGTCGGTTATTTTAGTAGGTTTTCTGCCAGTAGTTAGTCGCCTGAGTCATTCGTTAATCAGCAGGGTTTATTTCCTGCAGATGAGGTATACACTTGATGTCTTCTTTTTCTTCGTCAGCCTCTAAAAGTCCATTACCCGCCTTGGAATATTTAACGGAAGGATTTGCAACAAATGCCACTCTTGGCAGACGGATTAGCAATCGCAGTACCGAACGCCTCGCCTTTTTGGCGCAACTCCCAGTCTCGGCATTTTCGCCTGGTGTAAATGGAACAGTTATACCGCCATCTACAGAAGATACGATTTCTTTCTAGCATGTCCAATACTTACGGCACTCATAGAATAAAAAAATGGGCTGATGAATTTTCTGACACATAGCATAGGTAAATGAGGTCCATCATATTACATATCATATAACTTTTTTATTGCTGATAAATTAAATAATCTATATTTAGTACAGTATCAATGCAAAATAGAATATTATCTTTTTGTACTTGACCCCAAAGTAGATATCAATAGTTTGTTGCGAAATAATATTTCATACATTAAAATTTGCAAAATATATTAAAAAATAACGATTTCTTAAATTTACACGAACACTAAACATTGAATTAAACTATTATTTACGGATTTTATCGCGTTTAATTACTTTAATTTATTTTATCATCCCGACATTTCGGGTATTTTACAGCACCCGTAGTTACGGGGGAGACTGAGATGTTTGACGTCCCAATGTGTCCGCTCTTTTTGTCCGATTTACGCAAAACGAGCTTATAGTATCATGAAATCTTGCAGTGGTGTGCTTGGGTTTGGATTTAATTTTGTTCATTATAGGATCCCAAGCATATGGCAGCACCCATCAATTGAAATTAACTCTATTGAAATTTATTAAAAATATATTAAAAAATAATTATCAATAATTAAAATTAAAAGGACAATGCTTAAATAAAATAGAGCTTTATATTAAATTAGGAAAGTTGTACGTCGATTAAAAATTATTCACCTAATCATAAAAAATATTATTATTTTTTACTTACATGAACGTCGTGGGGTAGTAAATTTATGAATTTCTGTGTTATGTTCCATTTCATTAGCGTATACCAATACGTGCCTTGAAAAACATCACCGGCATTTAATAAAAGTGCATTGTTTTTCTCTTTCAGTAACGCGTTAATCTCATAATACAAACGAGCGAAGCCTCCCAGACAGTCGTTATTATTTGAATCACACACGGGATAAAGAACCGTAGTCTCTTCGAACCTAAAAAACATAATAATGATAATAAATGGTAATAATAATAATACAAAATATCTGGACCTGGCTCACGAGTTGACCGACATGTGGGGTGGTCTGCCGACCGAAATTATTCCTGTAGTCGTCTCTGCAAATGGGCTAATCCCGATCAGCCTCTCGGATCATCTGATGTGACTGGGACTCTGTGACGGACCGCTCCGGGCTCAAATGCAGAAGGCGGTGCTCCTCGATACCGCCCGCATTGTCCGCCGGTTTCTTTCCCTTTCCCCTAACCCTCGGCCATTTGGTCTCCTTCCATCTTCTGGGCTTTTATTTATTTATGTATTTTTATGTATATATTTTATTTTATTGATATTTATGATTTATCATTATCATTCACAATTATATATTTATGGAACCCAACCAGACGAGAAAACCATATAGATACCCCAAATAATAAAAAGCAGTTATTGGGGACTGCTGACGGAAGTGAAAATTTAAACCAAAAAAATAAGTTGTAATATATTGTAGATTTACAAATTAATAGAAGTAGACAATCAAAAAATTAACCTTTATGATTTATAAATTAAAATCATTAACATTAGTACTTCGAGCAACAATTGTAATATAATTATGGTTTATATAGTTTATTTAATATTTTTAAATGGTTTATTTGATAATCAAATGATAAGGTGCAATTCCGTAGCCGACTGCAGGCGGCAGCACCAGGCAACGTGTCGCCGCGACATGTCGCTGCAGTCATGATTCCGAACCTGACTGCAGATGGCAGCAGTCTAGTCTGTTTCGAGTGTTCAGTGAAACATGACGTCTGATGTGTTTGAAATTAGCGATCACCATTTATTTTTGTATCTTTGGCTAGAAGAGGAAGAAGATGATGATGACTTATTTTTATTATACAAGTATAAAGAGAAAAGACACACGTCCTATGTTGAAATGCAGAGGAAGTGAGGGAACGTACAGTGCGGGATATTGGGCCACCTAGTTTATCAGTTTCTGTTCCTGGGAATCGGTGAAACTCATTTTTAAGAAAAATTTACGAGTTGTCGCTTGGGCGTTGGCGGCACTACTGACCTGCGGTCGGGCTACAGCAGTTCAGCAGTGTCGTCTGCCGCTAGGCAAACGACGTGTCGCTACCTACGGAACGTATTTCACAGAACTACATAGAAACCAGTTGTGTCGCGACGACACATCGCTTACTGCTGCTGTCTGCAGTTGGCTACGGCAAACCCAGAACAAAATATAAATACAACTTAATTGTCTTAATAATTAACATACATTTATATTATTATATAATGCTATGCTATGCTAGGGGGATAAGTCGCTCGCGTCCGTAGGCTTTGACCACCTAATCCTAGGCCCACCCTACACGTGTCCCCCGGGTGGTGCTAAATGAGCGACAAGCCGATAGCACAGACTCGGCTCCTCGCCGTGGTAGCGGCGTTAAATATACCATCCCATTCGCACCATGAGGAATCAAACTAAAGAAATGGCCCCGAGTTCCCGGCGCCCCTTTAATGGGGCAGGGGTGCGAAGAATCTCCGGGAGGAAAACCGGCGACGAGGCTCGCCACCCGTCACGTTCTGTCTCCCGGAGGGGCGAAAAGTGGATTGCAGAGGCCCGTCTGGCTACGTTGAATGTATGTGGAGCAATGAATGATAAAATGGATGAAGTATGCGATGCGAATAGATTTGTTATGTGTAAATGAGACGAAACGGAAGGGGAAGGATGTCACTACACATGGCATGTATACCGCATACTGGTCTGGTGTAGACGAGCTCGAGCGGGCATGCCAGGGAGTAGGTATCATCCTATCAGAAAGAATGGTGCAATGTGTGAAAGAGTATGAATGTGTAAGCCCAAGACTGCTATGGATACGATTGAAAGTGGGCTTAAAGAAGTTGTTTGTGCTAGGGATCTACGCCCCAGACATGTCTAAGCCCACTCATATCCGAGAGCAGTTTTGGGAAATGGTAAGGATGGTATTAATGAAATGTAAGGGAAATGAAAATGTTGTTATGCTAGGAGATTTTAATGGAAGAGTTGGGGTGAGGAGGCTTGGTTATGAAAGGATATTGGGAACGTTTGGTGATGAAAGTATAAATGAGAATGGTGAAAGCCTCCTCACTGTATGTATGGAAAAGAATCTTTTTGTGACGAACACTTTCTTTCGCCACAAGAGGATTCACATGTATACTTGGGAAAGAGGTGATGATAGAAGCATGATAGATTTCATAATTGTGGATGAAAGATTGAGGGGCGCAGTGGTGGATACAAGGGTTTACCGGGGGTCAAACGTAGGAACGGATCATTTTTTGGTTTTATGCCGAATTAATGGTCTATTCAGGCGGTGGCGCCATCGGTCATCTGTGTCTACCACTGCGTTACAGCGTATTAGAACAGAAAGATTACAAGATGAAGGTGAGAAAAACAAGTTTAAATGTAGGCTGAAAGAAAACGTAAGTGGTTTGGATGAATTATGTATGAATGAGTTAGACTTGGAGAATTTATGGCAAAATGTTAAGAAAGGTTTAGTAGATGCAGCTACCGAAGTATGTGGTGTTAGTAAAAGAAAGAATGAAAGGAAAAATAATACTTTGTGGTGGGATGATGAGATACGTACGGAAGTTGAAGCAAAGAAGAGAGCATGGCTAGATTTACTAGCAACTAAGGCTGGTAATTCTAGCGGTACGAATGATGATTTTGAAAGGAAAAAGGCAGTCTTTAGACATCTAAATAAAAGAGTAAAAGAAGTAGTTGAAAGGAAAAAGCAAGAAAGAACGGATAAGAATGATAGAAGAATATCGGATAACTTCCAGGCAAATATTAAAATGTTCTGGAAACTCGTAAGAACTGCCAGGGGACGTTCAAAACAGCCTATAATGAATGCTATAAGAGATGAGAATGGCTATATTCTGAATGATGAAGTTTTGAGTTTAAAGAGATGGAAGGAATATTTTGAAAGCATGTTTATGAGTGAGGAGACAACGTATGAACTGAATGAAATAGGAACTCCGAAAGAAGAGGAAGGAGGTAGCGAGATAAGTATAGATGAAATAATGAAAGCAATGAAAAGCATGAAAGCAGGTAAGGCTACCGGTTATGATAGAGTTTCACTCGAAATGCTAAGGGCTGGAGAAGAAGTGGTGGCAAGCCTGCTGCACACCTTGTTTAATTTATGCTGGGAACTGAAGAGGGTACCGGTAGACTGGTGCAAAGCCGTGATAGTCCCAGTACATAAAGGAAAAGGGTCGCAGCAGGACTGTAAAAACTACCGCGGTATCAGCCTTCTTAGCATCGTGGGAAAATTGTATGCCAAGGTACTAATTGAAAGGGTCATGAAAGAAACCGATGGAAAAATTTGGGATGTGCAAGCGGGATTTAGAAAGGGAATGGGATGTACAGATCAAGTCTTCTCCATGCGCATGATCGCGGAGAAGTTTTTGGCCAAAAACCAAAAGGTTTTTTGTGCGTTCATGGACTTGGAGAAGGCCTATGACAGAGTGGATAGGAGTGTGCTATGGCAAACACTGAACTCATTTGGGTTGAGCGCTGGCTTGATACAGGCATTGGAATCTCTTTATAGGGACTCTAGTGCTTGTGTTAGGATCAACGGGGTCTACTCCGACTGGTTTGGCATCCATAAAGGTGTCAGACAGGGCTGTGTAGCTTCCCCGTGGTTGTTCAACCTATTTATGGACAGTTGTTTGCAAAATTTGAAAGTTGAAGAATGCGGATTAAGAATGGGTGAGTTAACCATCAAATGCCTTTTGTACGCCGATGATCAAGTTATTCTTGCGTCGTCGGCGGCTGAGTTGCAAATGATGGTTGCATTAATGAACAGATCATTAAAAGAAAGGGGTATGAAAGTGAACGCAAGTAAGACGAAAATTATGGTTTTTGAAAGAGATGAAAGTAAAACGATATGTGAAATAAGAATAGATGGGGAGTTGATCGAGCAAGTAGATGAGTTTGTATATTTGGGTTGCGTATTTAGCAGGAATGGTAGATATGATAAGGATATAGAACGACGAGTGAACGCAGGAAACAGAGTAAATGGGGCCCTGCACTCTATTGTGAAGAGTCAAAATGTGTCAAAAAAGGCACGTATGGCAATTCACAATGCTGTGTTGGTCCCTACTTTAACGTATGGTAGTGAAAGTTGGGTGTGGCAGAAGAAGCACGAGAGTAGAATAAATTCAGTAGAAATGCGGTCCTTAAGGAGTATGTTAGGGCTGAATCTGAATGACAGGGTGAAGAATTGTGTGATAAGAGAAGAGTGTGGTTTGCAAGATGATGTTGTGACCAGGATTAAGAAAGGAATGCTTCGGTGGTTTGGTCATGTGGAAAGAATGGATGAGGAAAGAGTGACAAAGAAAATTTATGTTGCAGAAGTGAATGGCAGAGTCGGAAAGGGACGTCCTAGGCGAAAATTTATCGACCAAATTGGCGATTTATTGAAAACGGGCCAAATTAGGAGTACCCTTAACCGACGAGCATGCATGCGTAGATGTATGGATGTGAAGGAGGCGAGAGAAGTGTGTCAGGATCGTGCCAAATGGAAGTCTGTAGTCTCTGCCTACCCCTCTGGGTGACAGGCGTGAGTGTTTATGTAATGTTATGTATGTATATAATGCTATTACAGCATGATGGTGACGCGAACTCATAAGATTTAACCCATACAAAGATTATTCAACGCGCCTGAAGAAGTTTTTACTTCTTAATACAGTTAATTCACCCCCCCCCCAGTCTTACCGCGGGTATCATAAGTGATAACAACCGAAAATAAAACAGAAAATGTACAAAAATGGACCCGCGTTAATCCGACAAACGTTTTACAAGGCAGTGTCGGATTGTCGAATTTGTCGGACTATAGACTACTGCCACAGCCCACTGGTAGTCCGCAACTTTTTGAAAAAGAGTACCTTGTGATCCGACAGACTACATATCAAGTATAAAATAATAAAAAATAAAAATGTCATGTGATGCACAATGAATACATAAACAGT